AAAAAAAAAAAAAAAAAAAAAAAAAACACATCTTAGTAAAACCAATACCTTCTCAGCTTCGCATCGAAGCTAAAAATAGACTAGTTGAGTTTTTATTTTTTTATAGTATTTTACTTAAAAATTATGATTTATAATAAAAATAGATTAAACATTTTAAATATACGAATTAATATTTGATGTCAATATGCTGCGAAATATTAACCAAAATCCCCCAAAAAATAAACCAATGTTTTAGTTTATATTTTTGTACATATTCGAATAATTTTTTTTTTTTAGTTTTTGTGCATGAGCTTACGAGATCCAGTAATAAGGTTGGTTGATACATTTTTTAACCATTTTAAGTTATACCTTTTTTTATGAATAACTTCGAATATTTATACAGTAAATAATTGCGTGATGTCATGTTAATAATTCAAAATTTCTAAGAAACGACCCGATATATTTTTTTCAGAAACCATTCAATTGTCTTAAGTATTATTGTTTTTAAGTCAAATTTTACACATAGAATATAAATATTTATGACTTTAATTTAGTATAAAACACTTAGTAAGATCTTCACAAATTAAAACAGATATATTGTTGAGAATACTCAGGACGGATAAGAAATAAATTATTTTTTTAGTTGTGAATTCTATTAAAAACCTTATAATAAATTATTCTAGTATTTATTATCTAGTATTTATTAAAGCTGATTTTATACGTTAGTGAAAATTATTGAATTTAAATAACTTACTAGGGGAATTTTGAAAGGTATATTAGTGTTTTTAATATAATTTATTGAACTCGTATTTTTTCTTGAAATTATTGTCAAACTAGCACCTAAAGTCTACGTTTATTGTTTTTTGCTTTCACTATGTGACTTTTTGATCCATCAACTTATCCTTTATATTATTATCTTGAAAGCTGCTTAAAGTGACTGCGTTGAAAGAAAACTTCGCTTAGTAAGTAAATACACTGATCGTACTCTATATTCTAAACCCAAAGGTGTCTTTTTATGCAAATCTTACCGCGAGATATTTGAAGGTATGCATATCCGACCCCCAGTTTATGTACCTTGTTTAACTATAAAAACAACTGAAGATGACGAAATAATGTTATTTCCCCACACGCTCGTATATTTTTAAAACTGTTTCATAAAGTTTTTATACATTTAAGAACTAAAAGATAACGAAAGAAAAATTGAATGAAGGATCTTAAAACAGAGGAGTGAAAACGACGTGATTTCTTTGACTATACTTTTATTATACAAGTACTCATATACGTAGCTTAACTTCGAAAGAAAAATTTCATCTAAAATAAATTTTCAGCAGTATTACTTAACACAATTAACGTATAAATTATTTAACATTATTTGCAGTTAAATTTATTGATCTATACATGGTTTATAATAGCTATAACTTTAAGGACTATGATATGATATTGAACAGACTATAGTCTGTTAAGTATTATCTGCTCTGTAATATGTAGTATCAGGACTTCAGTTAAAATTTATAAGATACTAAACGTAAATAATATTTGTAGTTATTCTTCAAAATCTGATATGCCACTTTTAGCAATTTTTTAGGCGAACAAAACCCCAACAAACCAAACTCCTAAGTTAAAAATACAAAAGATCATTTTTTGACTATTTTCATCAAGTTTATGTATAACTCTTCATTAATTGATTGATGTATGCTAGTACTATTTTTAACAGTATTAGTTAGCAGAAGATTAAACTAATTATAATTGCTTCAAATTCTCCAAGACTATAACTTAATTTATTTAACAGATGTCTAAATTCCCACATTTCACATTCTCATAACATTTATGACAACCAATTTTAGTTTTCATTTTAATAGTTCCGACTTTAATTAAAATGCATTTTCTGTTTCTAAACTAAGCTTATTTACTAAGTTAAAACTTGATTATTTTTACATTTTAATGTAATTTATTATTTTACAAGGCATATAGATTCTGAGAATTGATATCTGTAGTTAGCGATTATAAAGTTATTATTTCTTTCTTTTTATTTCCATCTCTATAATTATCTTTATGCTCTATAAATAAACAAATTAAAACAAATAACTATTATATCAAAATAACAATAATGTTCCAAACACTATTATTATGCAAACTAAATCATAAAATATTAATGAATAATTAAAATTTATTCATTAATATTTTATTCACATGTGAAATATTTAGATAATGGATCATCTATATTTTTTTTTTTAAATTTGTGTCGATATGAATCATCTAAAGATTTTTTCATTATTGTATAAACAAAAGTTATTAGTAAACGGTATAATAAATCGATAAGCGGTTGCGTCAACAATCGTCGCAACCGGTTAGCAGATAAAACGACACCTTACATTGTTTGCGAATCGGAATAATTTTATCTGTTTAATGATTTTATAAGACCAAAATAATTTTTATAAGTTAAAAAATAAATAAATAATGTTAAGATTTAAACTTAATTGATTGGTTTTGAAACAATTTTTTACAATGAAATTTTAAGTATAAGTAAACGCCAACATTGGTTTTTCCAAATATCGATAATTGTTGAAACTATTTGAATATGTCCACAGGCTTTGCATTAAATGAATATCTTGTCATTCACTATGGCTTGTTTTAAACACAATATGGAACTTAAGTTTGAAGATAAATTTATAATTTTGAGTTGATTTTATAAAACTTTAAGATGGGTTAGATAGCGATTTTACAAAAAAATAAAACTAAATGAAACTTTTTACTGAAAATATTTAATAAAATTCACAATCTTTAAATAGAACATTTTAAGAAAATTAAAAATAATTATCTTTTGTAATTATATTATTAGAAACTGATATAATTGAAAAGTTATACAAATGGCTCAAATTTGAATAATAATAATAATATAATAATATTTATCCCCTTATACATTTCTTAATTGTATATATAGAGATCAATGTTTCATATTTATTTACATTTTTTAATAGTTCAAATATATAATCCAAAATATTATATTATTAGCTAAAGTTTTGTGTTTTTGGAAAGGTTGCTTGTATTGTGTAGCGTGCGATTGTGTGTGTATTAATAATAGACATTTAATTTCTGACCTTAATTCTTCTATGATTTCATTTTCTCAAGATGCCATTTTCGTTTGGTTTGAGCGTGAATATGTCACACTTCTATGCATATTTGTTCATAGTTTTTCTAACGTTGTTCATTAATAGGATTATTGATACATCATAAAATTAATATAGTTTCGTTAATAGTAATTGGAGGTGTGTTGTTCACCAAACCACAACCCATCACTTATGTTCCACGATAATACCGAATCAGTACTGATATGCTAAACGGACCGTTGGATTTTAGCTTTTAATGTGTATATGATGTGGACGCATATGATGTATTTACAACAATATGCGATCCATTATACTATATAATTGTACCATTACAAGGTTTTAATTGATTTTTACAAAAAATAATTACTAAATACTTTTTCAGAAATAAAGTGTATTTAATAAAGAGTTAAGATTTATTTTTTTGTAGAATCACTATCAAATTCATCAGTACAATTTCATAAAATAGAATCAAAACATGATGAATTTTTTATGAAAAATTTCAAACAACTTTAACACCATAAAAACAAATTTCAAGAGCCCTTTGAAAAAAAAAATGTTTTTTTTATTTTCAAGTGTATTTTAAATGTCTAATTTCACAATTTTTAAAAGTTTTAAATATATCATAAATAGACAAAATGATAAAGTTCTAAAGACATATTTGGAATTAGCGAGAAAAATTGATTTATAATCATTATTTATTTTTATATTTAACGTATCATTTATATTACAAAAAAAATATTGAATTATGTTGATCAAGTAGTTTTCACTTTATGTTTTATCAAGCAAATAGTATTAAAAACATTTTTTTTAACGAAATACTATTATTACATATAAATGGTTTCATTACCAATCGTAGTCAGTAGTTTTCATAAAATCAATATTTTTTGTGCACAACTAAAAAGATTCAAACATTGCTAATCGTTACTGGGGAAAGAGAGTTACAATCTCTTACCCCCTGAAAACGACACGGCTCATAAAAACAATTTATATCAGTTTCAATTTAATTTGTGTTTATGAGTAGATGGCACAGCTGTTTATACAATCGAAAACCCAAAATAATTATTAGTAGAAGTCATAATATTTTATAATAATTTAAAAACTTTATAAAGTCAATGTGTAATTGAATTCGATTAGAATAATCAAATAATCTTACTTTTTTAACATAAATTTTTGTCATTTTTAGAATGCCTTAGGATTAAGTTTCAATGATATCGATTTTTTACTTTCATTGTACATTTTAATTGAAAGCAATAAAAATATATCGTAAAGAATGATTGGTAGTAACGACTTGAAAAAAATATTAATTCATCAACAATAAAATATATATATATATATTTGTGATGATTTTATTCTATTTAATTATAAAATATTATCCATAAGTTGATTGTTTACAAAACAGTAGCTAAGTTTAAAAAATGGTTGTTAGTATAATAAATGTTTCATGTACACAGAAATGATGTCAAGTAACAGTTAAAAAGCTCATTTAATTTAATAATTTTTTTTTTACTAATCACTACTCAAAAATTAGTTACTTTATTTGATAAAGACATTCAATAATACCATTAATCTTTGTATTATAATACATGGTTGGATCGTTAACTATCATTTTTATATAAACTAAGACAAAAATAATATAAGCAATATAGAATGATGTAAAAATTAATTTACAACTAATCATTTGCATTTTTTTATTACTATTATATCAATTATAATAAAATTAATAAATAAATAATAACGATTATAATAATTATTTGTTAGCAACACATTATTACATCTGTATAATGTATCGCCCTGGTTGAGACTATTTATGTTGAGTGCAATTCAGTTTTTGTTACCGATGAGAGAACTTATCATAGAAAAGAGTGGTACTTACAAACTAATAGAAATTCATGATGAAATTTAAAAAATTGATAATAATAGGCATGCATATATATGTTAGCTAACATATACATACAAACTTTCTTTAAAGCATAATTATTACATTGAATCATATAACACGACAGATACTATACACACCAAGGTATAAGCAAATCATTAGAGCGATTAACTATAAAAATAACTAATAAAAACAACGAATATAAGATATATAATAAACAAGGAAAGAGCTGTGTTATATCGTCGTTATATCTTTCATTATTAATCCTTAGTATACATGTATTTTTAGTAAGGATGTGTTTAAAAAATTAATTTGTGAAGGACAACCTACGTGTGTATGACTTATCTGA